CATCTGGCTCCGCCCTGCTCTAGCTACATTTTGACTGCATCCACCTTTAACACCACAGTCTAATCTCTGGATTTTATTACAACAACAAATCAATAGCTAGCATGTCCAAAGAGGCTCCAGAGAACCTAAATTGTGCTAGTGTCTAAATTAAAATATACAAACTAATCAGGTTAATCCCAAATTACTTTAAATTGAGCACAGATTTAAATAGTTTTGATTTGTGTTAGATTGGTCAATTCCTGAAAATTGTAAACTGCAACAAATGTAGAATTGTTTTCTCCGAAATTTAACTGAAATCTGTTCTCATCTAATTGCGCCCTGGACGCTACTCATAGAAGCTGCCATTGGTGAAGTACTGCGTACAACACAAATCGTTTCTCCGAGCGCGAGCTCTGCTGCAGCTGTCTGGGAGGGGGTTGAGTAACGGGATTACCTAATGGGGGCAGCGGGAACGAGCCTTTTAAACAGATTACGGCGCGAGTTTAGTACTTTCTTCTTTCCATAGTCACGTTCAATCTGCCTCGTACACAGCGCAGGTCTTGTGAGAAATTCTGTCCCCCTGTGTCGGGAGCGCGCATTGCAGCCAGAGAGGTGGATCCGGCGGATCTGACCATTTTCACGGCGCTTCTGATCGATTTCTCGGTAAAAACTACTCATATGATCATGTCAATGTGTAACTTTCAGTTTAATCGGCAGCTATCAAAATAAAAATACATACATAAATAAACAAGGTCCTGCGTGGAGGTCTTTTTACGCTGTTTTGTGTTATTTTAAACGCGAAGAGAATCGATCATTTTTTTTTCAGCTTTTGTCTCGTAAGCCTGACAAATAAAAGTCAGTAAACAAACAGGTTTCCAACACGTAGTGTGCATTTATAATTTTTCATTTCCGATACAAGAGGAGGGAAGCTGGCCGATAGCAGGGCACAAAAATAAAGACTTCCTGAAAAGATCACAGTGTAAACTTTTTGGTCAATCCCGTTCTAAAGTAAAATATGACAGATTACTGGATTAAGGAAATGTCTAGTATGCTATCACATATAATTTTTAAGAATTTGGAAACAGTTGCTTTTTATTTCCCAAAGTTATGGGGGGAGAAGAGGAGAGAATGGATATTTCAGCTGCCTGAAATATCCCCCCTATAAAATGGAAACAAATTAATTTACCTGCAAGTCTTTTACTGTGTTGATTCCCCTCACCATCAACAAGAAATCCTGCAAGTTTGAAAACATTTGTTCCTTTTTTGACAAAGTTAGGATGTGGGAACAAAATATTTTAAGCGCCTGATAAAATCTGTTCTCCCCCTTAAAATGGAAACAAATTAATTTATGTACACTTAATAAGTACAATAATTGAAACTTCAATAAAGGTTAATTTCAGATGTTTTTTGGATCTGTGTCACATGAGACCTGCTCCAACTCCAAAACTCCAACACCTAGACTCTTCAAAGCTAGACTAAATTATTCTCAACAAATAGCAGAATATTTTAATCCATGTTTGGGATTTGTGAAACCTTTATGAGATTTGTCAGACTTCAATAAAGATCAGATCACCATTCACACTTGTTCTATGCAGTCTTTTTCAAATTCAATTCTAATTTAGAACCACTTTATTAATCCCAATGGGAAATTAAATGTGGTGTAACTCATTACTTCTACAAAGAGTTATTGCAAATGGTGATGGCTCAAGGAAGGAAAGTTCTTCTGCAGTGGTCTGTTAAGTGAAGTTTCACAAATCAAAAAGGTTTCACAAATCGCAAACATGGGAATAAAGAGTCTTCTTGAAGAGTAGAATAATCTAGTCCAGATTTGAAGTGTCGCATTTTTAATTTTTTCTAATAATGTACATATGCAGGATGTTGGGGGTTTTCTTGACCCTCAACTGCATCTACTTTTAATAACTACAGGAAATGAAATTATTGTACTTGTTAAGTTATTGACAAAAAAATTTGTTAAATAACTGTTTTCACATGTTGATGTATTAAGTTTTGGCTAAGTACATATTTTTTTTATCAAAACATACAAATTATAGTCATGATAAAAATTTTCATTAACACTCAAAATAAGAATATTAATGTTATAATCACCACTGTTAAGAATAATCTCACAGCAATGTAAACCTCATGCTGTAGACGCCGCAGTGGAAACAGGAAAATCCACAACCACTTTTGCTAGGAGTTTTTCTGCAAACTGAAATAAACAGCTTCATTTAATGATTCACATTTTAGGTAACAAAGAAAATAATTCACTATACATGTCCATTTTATGTAGGGGGAACATATTATTTCAGGTGGCTGAAAGAGCTAAACTATTTTGTTCCCCCCATCCTAACTTTGGCAAAAAATGAGCAAATGTTATGAAAATCACAGGATTTCTTGTTGATGATGAGGGGAATTAACACAGTAAAAGACTTTGAAGGTAAATTAATTAGTTTCCATTTTAAGGGGGGGAACAGATTTTATCAGGCACTTAAATTATTTTGTTCCCACATCCTAACTTTATCAAAAAAAGAGCAAATGTTATGAAAATCACAGGATTTGTTGTTGAAGGTGAGGGGAATTAACACAGTAAAAGACTTTGTGGTTAAATTAATTTGTTTCCATTTTATGTAGGGGGAACAGATTTTATCAGGCAGCTGAAATATCCATTCTCCCCCCATAACTTTGGGAAATAAAAAGCAACTGTTTCCAAATTCTCAAAAATTATTATATGTGATAGCATACTAGACATTTCCTTAATCCAGTAATCTGTCATATTTTACTTTATAACGGGACTGACCAAAAAGTTTACACTGTGATCTTTTCAGGAAGTCTTTATTTTTGTGCCCTGCTATCAGCCAGCTTCCCTCCTCCTTTATCAGAAATGAAAAATTATAAATGCACACTACGTATTTTGATAGCTGCCGATTAAACTGAAAGTTACAACATTGACATGATTATATGAGTAGTTTTTACCGAGAAATCGATCAGAAGCGCCGTGAAAATGGTCAGATCCGCCGGATCCACTTCTCTGGATGCAATGTGCGCTCCCGACACAGGGGGGACAGAATTTCTCACAAGACCTCTTCAGTTCATTTAGTCCAGGAAGGAGACACAACAGAATAATCAGATTCTTCAAGAATTAGTTTGGAACTCCTTCGAGTTGCCCCAAGGAACTCAATGTGCCAGCACCACACCGGAAGATCCTCCTTTCAAAATCAACGTTTACAAAATAATAATAATAATAATAATAATAATAATAATAATAATAATAATAATAATAATAATAATACATACATACATACATACATACATACATACATAAATATCCTTTAGGAATTACAAAAACTATACAAGAAACAATATGGTGGGAATATCAGCACAAAATATATCAAACAGCTCTAAACTGATTATTAAGACATTAAAAAAGTGAGAGTGATTTATTCGATTTCTGCCTCATATCTTCAAATTGTTATTTAGAGCAATCAATGAAAGTATGTTATTACTACTACAAGTAATAACAACAACTACAAGGCAGAAAACAAAATGTGTTAGAGATTGGACATGTCATTACACACATGCGTGCATGCACACACACACACACACACACACACACACACGCTGACTTAATGGTACACACTGCACGTATGATAGCAGCAAGAAGATCCTGGATTGATTGACTGATTTCTCTGAATCCTCCTTAGGTGAGTGTGTGTGTGTACATGGTTGTTTGTCCTGGTTGTTTCTGTGTTGCCCTGTGACAGGTCCAGGGTGACCCCGCCTCTCACCCGTTGACCACTAGAGATAGGCACCAGCACCCCTCCCAACTCCACTAGGGACAAGCTTGATAATGGATGCGTGGATGGATATTTATGTCTTGAATAGAAAACATAGCTTTTTATGGAATTTTCTATGGCATTAGCATTATTCTTTGGACCAAGAGGGCGTGCAAGTTATCTGTTTGCACCATTTTACTGTTCTTTGCAGTATCCAGGGGCAACATGACCTCTAGAACGTATTTCGTCACAGCGTAGTTGTTTTATTTTGAAAATCTCCCAGGAAGTGCATTGCGCCTTTAAAACTTGATGCGAATATCTGTCAAATCTTCAGTAAAATGCCGGCAGTCGTCTTCCTCACGGGGCACTGCGCTGGAATCAGCGTGCCAGTTGCCCGCCGGGCTTTACCCACTCGTGTTCCTCCGTGTAAATGGCTCTTTCAGGAGGTTCCCTGCGGCGTAGAGGACTGCTCACCGGAACACTGCGTCTTCTTATGCAACCATGCGTTTATTTCCCTATGCAACACTCGCGCTGCAATGACAAGTGGGTTGAATGAAGTAAAAGTCGGATGTAGACATAATTCCATGGACCAACAGTATCTAGAGCTAATAACCAGTTTAACCTAAATATTGCAGCGCTCTATGGATGGATCTCTGGGACATAACTGCATCAGACGGCTGCTTTCATGCTGTTCAACTTTGAAGGACAGTGCTGCAGTAAGGAACCTTTGTCTTCACCAGCTGCTGCTGCACCTGATTTAAAAAAACAACAACAACAAAACAAAAACTCATAATCCTTCAGCCTATGCAACAGGATAAGAGCAACAAGCTTTACATAAACTGGATCTTTTCTGACCTTTGATGTTCTGAGGGGTCAATGACAAGGCCAAAAGGGAGATAATCTAAAGGACTGTGTATGCTGGCCATTACACCCCACCTTGCCATTCTGTCTCTGGGCTAATACTTGCGATGCTGTTTGAATTTTCCTTAAACTCTTGAGACCTGGACTGGATGCTGGAATCAGTGATCCTAAAGGAGATGGACTGAGAACCTTGGCAGGCTTTGGATGCCATACCAGTTTATAACCAACAGATTATATCACCTGACATGCTGTGATCAGCAGTACACAGCCAAGCAGAACAGCATAAAGGTTTTTGACCTTTTTTACTTTTTTCTAGGAAAAAAGAACTCTTAGCTCATCATGTTTCTGAACTGTGGTCAACCGTTGCCTCTGCTTAGTGACAAGGATGTACCCCCTCGTGTTACAGAAAACTTCATCCTTTCAGGCTACCGGTTCCCAAACTACAGCCTGAGGGACTGCTTGTTGTCAGCATTCAGGCCTACCAATGAAACAGGAAACTTCTGGACACACTTCCTACCCATCTTCATTTTTGCTTACTACTTTCTACAGATGTTTAGTTGGGATGGTGCACCTGATGCCGACGCCCCATTCTTTTACCCAATGTGGAACTACTTTATTGGGGTGTTTTGTCTGCTCCTGGCCAGCAGCATGGCCCACTTGCTGAACTCAATGTCTCTGGTCGTAAGGGAGGTTTGCTTCTTCGTTGATTATGGCACAATCAGTGCCTACACAGTTGGCTCATCATTGGCGTACTACTACTACATCCATCCTCGGGCAGGGATAGTGGAGAAAGAAGACAAGAACGGCTCCTGTTTGGACATAAACCACAAGCGTAAAGGGTTTTTATCACCTAACGCCATGCCGGAATTCAACCTGTTCTTTGAGACCTACTACATGCCATGTGCATGTGTTATAGCAATCATATGTGTTTTATCCTGCTGTAACACTCGTCAGAGGTGGAGGGAGCATCGATACATCATACGGACCCTGGTTTTCCTGCTGCCATTCCTAATCTCCTCCACACCAGTCTTCTACCGTGTCCTCACCAGATCGCCTTACTCCACCACCACGCCTTCCTTTGCTGCCTCCATCACCATGCCCAACTTCTTCTATCGCCACTCTCTCTGGCTGCTGGTGTCGGCCCTGTTCAACATCAGCAAGTTCCCAGAGAGGCTGGCTCCAGGTCGATTTGACATCTGGGGCCACAGCCATCAGTGGTTTCACTGCTGCACATTTTTGTCCATCCTCGACGAACTTCACATGATCCAGGCTGAGGTGAGAGCCATCCTGCTCAATCCTGATTTCCTCTTACCCCCTACCGCGCTCTCTCGCCTACCTGGACCAACCATTGCTTCCACCTACGGAGTGATGCTCCTCCTCCAGACTACCATTGTCTCAATAATTGCATGTTTCTCCTGGCATGCAAACTGTATCTACGGCCCTCAAAGGGACCAGCTAAAGAAACAAATGAAAATTGACTAATGCAAGAGACGTCTTTCTTTATTACTGTGAAAGATGATTTCCATATGCCTAAAAGGTAAGGGTGCACCAATAAATCGGGTCAGATTTCCTTAATTTTGGTGAGATCAATGATCTGCTAACGTGAAAAATAAATCTTAACTACCTATCTTATCTAACTCCACAAAGATCTGAAAATCAACCTCTTTTGTTCTGCAGTGAGAGAACAAAAGACAGATCCCGCCTACAAGTCACTTCTACTTGTGCAAAATTAACAATATCCTACTTTTGCCAACTTAGTGGCTCTGTCGCTATATTTTGTGACTTTTCAGACAATCGACCTAAATTGGAATTGACAGGTCAGGTTTTTTTATAGATTGGTGATTGGCTACAATTGGTGCACCCCTGCCACAAAGCCATGCTATAAGAACTGCACAAGAAAATGATTTAAAATCTCTCATGCATTCTGACCCCATCTGGGCCAATTATGATGCTTTCATAGGAAGAAGTAGGAGACGGGAGGAGATGACAGGATTATGTTTGGGCTCGCTACAGGGAAGCTGTCTTGTTGAGTGGATATTTAAAGCCCTTGCCAGCTTTTTTTTCCCCTGAGAACAGCTTCATCATGGAATATCTAAAAAGTGAGGATAATAGGATGGACATTTGAGAATAGAGGTTGATATTTGGTCTGCAGGAACTCTGGTTAGAGGTTATGGGCTTTTCTCCCAACTGTTCTGATCATGTCCAACTTTTTATTGCACTGTTGTTTTGTTCATTTCATGCTCTGCTATGTATTTGATTTTCCTCATCTTTGATATTAACGAGACCCATATTGTCTTGCTTTGTCATTTCCTTTTATGGCCTTGGTTATCTACTCCAGAAAGTGTTATTTCCTCTTTCTTAGCCCTGCAGCAGGAAGTTGCATGGTTTTAAGGGCATCAGCTCAACAGCTGAAACTTTGTATGAGTCTTACTATGAAGCACTTTCAGGGAGCCAGTCAAATTTACCCTGTCTTTTAAAAAAAAAAGCCATGCTCATGTTTGAATCTGAAAGGATTAAATTTGTTTGATAAGCATGTTATGATGTCCTGCAGATAGCTTATTTAGCTTTTTATCTAGCTTATTTAGATGTGAAACTCATTCATGGTACATTTGATGCCGTTGCTGCTTGGGTTGTGTCCAGCCTTTAGTCATATTTAGACACCTCTCAGTATCTTTGTCCAGGCATCTTCTTTTCTTTATGTTATCTACCACTCTTTTAGGTTATTAAGAATGAAGCTAAAGTTGTGTTTTACTTGGAGGGTTAGCTGCTCTCTGCACTTTTTCTTGCCTTTGGATGTAGAGCAATCTTAGTTTAGAACTGGTTGCTGGAAATGGCTGCATTTGTCCTTCATTTGCTAAACTCTAAAGGGATAGTTTGGCATACAGGGATTGTTTCTCCTGAAGGAGGTTTTCTGGAGAATTTATCAGTGATTAGGTGCAGTACATGTTTTCATTATTGAGCTTTCATTAAAAAGATTGGGTCTGGACCAAAACAGATGTCTACCACTGTAGAACATCTGCAGGGGTTAAGATTTTATGGTGGTTCAACATTATTTTGCAGTTATCTCTTTATTAGACAGTTAGTTCCAAAGAAAATGTTTTTTTACAACACAGATTGTGGAGGTCCCAGTCTTTAACAATTACATTCCCAGAAAAAAACAGAATGTGAGGAGGCTATCTGGTGTGCAAAAACAAATGTGAAAATATTCCAGCTCCTTATGTTAAATGGACATTGATCTAGTAATAGTTTACATAACCACATTTACCTTATCACTGTCACAGTCATTCATAGGTAAATAGATCGGTAAGCACTGGTAAGGGTTAAGGCACATCAATATGTGGCAGTAGGAACCTGGAATCAAATGCACAACTTTCCCATTGCAAGACACTATTAAATCGCATTCAACTTTACATTCCATTTTGCAAAACACGTTTCTTTCTGTTATAGGACGTAGGCTATTATGGCCTTTATTGTAAATAATTCTACATTTCTATGTAAATTAACCTCCATTGCATGAAATTAGCATGAAATTTTCTGGAGCTGTTTTACAATGGTAGGAATCCACACAATGGCTAATCTTTGTTTTTATCCCAGTTGAAGTCAGTTAAGAGGTTAAGTACTGCAGGTTAAACAGTACCTAGTGATATTCTCAACACATAACCACACTTTATGTCATTTTAATAATGTATTTAAAAGACAGCACATGTCATGAGTCTTCATGTCTTAATACTGTAGCTCAGAGAAAATGACATGGACATGTTTGTTACCGGCCTGACTCGTATTTTTGGGCTGATCTTTACCCCCGTGGTTTGCAAATGACACTGAGACTGTGATATTAGGAAAATAGAATGTTAACCTCACACACTGAAGGCACCTTTATGGAACTGCAATGAAACAGGTTAGGCCTTGTTCTTCTACTGGAAGGTCATGTTCTGTCTGAGTTTAAACTGGTTTTTAAACATTAAGTAGTTTATTGTATTGCCTGGTTTAGGATTGGTTTTAAACTGCAACAGTTTGTGTTGTTGATGAAACTTGAAAAAGAGCAAATGTGTAGAGTTAGCTCTGGAAGCCATCTGAAAAAATCTGATGGCTTGGAATGTTCTTCATCAATCCTGTAATCCTGCCGATGCATTCAAGAACACTCAGTAACACAGGAAGTGAAAATTGGATCCATTCCATTCTCTCACAAAACACAACCTGACAACAGAGTTGTCTGCACGGTTAAAGATGTGTTTTCTGCTATATCTTCACAGATGCAGCTAATTCTTACTAGTATATCACATTAATAATATCTTACAATATAGTTGATTGATGTATGTTTAAATAGAAATTATATTATGCACATTTACTTACAATCACTTGCACATGAGAAAATGAGAAGTGGATGCTATTAGTTTTCAAAAACATGTGTTATAAAGCACTTTAAAGCTTCTGCAAAGGTGAGAAAAAAGGTTTTGTACCTTTGTTTTGGTGCATCTATAAAAGACGTGGATTGTTTGAACATCTCAAGAGTCAGAATATCAAGCAGTTTATACAACAGCCTCATTTTCTTTGGCACCTGGTAAGTAACTGCTTGAACAACACAATGTGGCAATAATTGCCCAAAGTGACTCCCATCCACCATAGTGTTTAATGCTGCTAAGTTTGTATATGATTGATTGTATGCTTGTATATTAGTTTCAGCAGTCATTTATTTACTTGTGTTGGAAGCCATGCTAGCTGACAATAATTATGTTTCCAAATGTAAGTGAATATTTGAAATGTTGCAAAAAAAAATTGAATTTGTAGTTTGAAGTGAATCAACCAGGCTAATTTAATCAGTTGTTGATGCTGGGTAAGCAAAATAAACAAGATCGAGCGGTTGCAAACTGGCATGGACTATACATGTCAGGAAAATGGAGAGTCCTCCCCTCCAATATGGAGGTCATTGTCATTGACTCACCAGTGGATGGGAGCGATCCACTAAGTCCCCTAGCCTGGAGTGAATCTCACCAGCTACTCTAGGTTCCCTCTCTGTGCTGGAGATTTGGACTCTGAAAATTTCAGAGCTTTGCACAGGCATACTAGTGGATGTGAAAGTTCACCACCTCAGAACTTATTCAGCAAATGTATTTCCATCTCCACTTTTGTGCATTAACTCTTTTCAGAAAAGCCACCTCAAGCAAACATAAAAAGTTTTTGAGGAAGCTATTTTGAATTTTGTTGTTTCCATCAACCTGTTCTAATACAATACTTCAAAATATGCATTAAAAAAACACATTGATGCAAACATGCCGAGTGCAGAAAGGACTGCCAGCTCCATTGTGCTCCATTGTCAGTTATCCTTTCCACAATGGATTGATGACAGTCCATTGTAGGACACAAAGTCAGAACACAATTTGACTTTGTGGTCTGGAAAATTCAAACTCCTGTAAAGGATTCTACTAAGAGCACAAAAGTCCTAGCTAAATTGACAAAGTTTATATTACTGTTCTAATGTTTCAATTCATTCAGAAAGAGTGAAAATATCTGGAGTTATTGAGTGATAAACACATGGAAACGAGGAGTTAGAAAACAAGCCAGTGGTACTGTATTACACTGACACATCAGGTTAGCTCTACTTTCCCTATGACTATGACAGATAGTCATAGAGAAATATGACTTTAACAGATAGTTATAGGGATTCATCAGGTCTATAGCTAATGGTGAAGCGATGTTTCTACCTCAGAACAACATCTGTGTCAATCATTGTGTGACTGAGAGAAAGCATAATTGAAACAGACTTTGTTTTCGCCTCTTCACTGAATCCATTAATGTTTAAGCAGTATGTGAATGTTAGCACCAGACTACTTTATCTTACTTTGTGATGTACTCAGGGTTGACTCAAGAGGGATTCAAATGCATTATTTAGATGTGCTTTTAATTATGAAGTACTGAGAAAGAGGACATTATGCTGCAATACAGCAGCACAGTGTTGCTGCTGTAAAAATCGTGTTATGTGTTTCATTAAATAACACTATTACTTATCATTTAAGTTGTTTTGAATAAATCATACAAATAACCATTGTTGTTTACTTATTTTATTTTTCTTGTACTTGTACTATTGATGGCAAATATTTTTTATGTCTGACCTGCCTGCATTAGTGATGGGAAGTTTGGCCCTTTTCAGAGAACTGGCGTCCAAAGAAGAATTGGCTCTTTCTGCTACTAAGTGGTTCTTAATGTATTATCATCAGCAGTCTCATATTTTAGCTGATGAGACTTACTTAGTATGTTATTTACTTTACATACTAAATAAATATGAATACTTAGTATGTTAATAAATTCTTTTGCATTTAATGATTTTGAAAGAATTTGTATGCTTTTCACATTTGCCATGTTTGTTCTGTTACGGAAGCAGGCATTCTCACATTTGTATATTTTCATCAAACTTAATTTTTATTTAACAAAAAAACACATGAACAAAACACTGCAAACAAATCTGCCAAGCAGAATCATAATAATATGTCCTTAAAATGCAGCCAAATGCTGTTTTTGTGGGAGACCAACCACTAATAGCTACCATCCAGTGCTACCTACAGAAATATACAGTTCCATCAGAAACAACCAAATAGAGACTCTAGGAGGGTCTGAGCGCTGTCAGTCACCCTCATGTATGTGCCGATCATAGACTCCTCTCTCTGCTACGCTATAGCTGGTTGACCACACCAAAGTCTGCTATGAATGCTATGGCAAGTTAGCATGATCACCAATGATAGCAGATAAACAGTTTTCCTGTAACTGGAAGTTGTTTCTTTGGTCCTATCACACTGAGCAGAGAGTCATTGACAACCCTAAGGCCCTCCTCCTGGCTCTAACTCAGGGGTGTCAAACTCCAGTCCTCAAGGGCCGCTGTCCTGCAGTTTTTAGATGTGCCACAGGTAGAAAACACTGGAATACAATGGCTTAATTACCTCCTTCTTGTGTAGATCAGTCCTCCAGAGCCTTGCTAATGACCTAATTATTGGTGCAGCAGAGGCACATCTAAAAGTTGCAGGGCAGTGGCCCTCCAGGACTGGAGTTTGACACCTGTACTCTAACTGGTTGTTTCTGATGGAGCGATGTATTTTTTCAGACAGCAATAGTAGCTTTGGCAGGAGGTGTTTCTTCATTAAAAGAAAGTGATTGTTGTCCACCTCTTTAACACTCAGTAATATGACAGGTTCAAGCTGACTTCAGCAGTTTAAATGAACTCAAACTGAAAATGTTGATATCCAGCAGTTAGTGGATATGATCAGTTCTGTGTTGTTCAGGAACATCTGACTTCTGCAGCACACTACTGGATTTTTTTTCCCAGTGTCCAGAAACACTAAAGATGGTTTACTCCTGTTGCTTTATAAGTCTCATAGTTGTTTGAAATAGATCCAGATAGACTCACCAAACCAGTTGTGAGGCAGACTCATACTGCTACTTATTTTCCTAAGAAGAACTTGGTTATATATGTCTTCCTGTCAAAACTGAGTGATAAGAGAACTCAGTTTTCTCTTATCACTGACAATCCTGAGTCCTCAGGATTGTCAGTGGCTTCACAGAACCCTTTACAAACTTTGTGTTGTTTTGCAGAGCAGCAGCCGAATGCTGAACAGAAAAGGGAAGCAGTTTGTGGTGCTTCCCTTTTCTGCACTGCTGCTAATGGTGACCTGACACCACACTGCTTTCAAAGCGGTAGGTGCGTCGCTTTGAATAATTCAAATGTCCACATGAAAGTAGATTCTTTGTGCTGATTTGCAAGAGCAGTCCTTCCTTCTCTCCCCTCAGTCTGGTGGATTATTTATTTCTGGATATGTCCTGTAGTTCTGGTGGACCTTGAGCAGAGTCATGCATGTGTGCATCACATGCAGCTTGCTTTTTATGGCAACCTCCACCCCTCCCCTCACACTGGCTTTTTCCTTACATCTGGAGCTACAAATATCAAGTGAGGGAGAAGATCCTCCTTTTGCTGATATCATTAGGAGATAAATATGGATGCTGGCAGGATAAAAACTTGCTTTTAATGAATACGTGATGAATGGAACTAAAATACACACCTGGACTAAACTGAAAAAGTCAAATCAACCAGAATTCAGTGAGAAACATAAGGAACTGTAGAACAGTGAGAAGAAACACTTAAAAAAACTGTCACTAACAGGTGTGTTATTGGATAAACTGGTCACCTGACACCACAGACTGCTTTGAAAAAAGCTAATGTTTATTTGGTAACAAATATTATCGTTTATTAAATGGATCCACAATTAGTTGAACATGTTGGGCTAAATGGCCTAAAATTAGTTATATAATTTTTATATTAACTAAAATATTACTGTTTATGATACATTATAACTCATAGTACTGTAGATTCCAGTATAGAATCTACAGTACTATGCAGCATGCATTGCACACATGTAAAAATGGCGACCTCAAGGGGTGAAAAATATAACATAAGATTACAATTTTTGAAGCAATAAACAATACAGTACTTATAACAATACAGCAATATCACAAACAGTACTTTTTTATTAGTAGGAATATTAGAACATATTTACACTAATTGCTCAACTAATTGTGGATCCATTTAAAAAAAACATTTTCTTGATTTCTACGCAGCCGCAAGGAGCAGCTCTACCTGACTGTAGGCAAATCTTCTGAAGTGTTGTGGCACTGTAAACAAAGAAAACAACATGCCATAGATAATTCTTTGTTCACAAAAATATTTCATTCTCACTGCATGCTCAACGCACATCTCTAAAAGTTTATATTTGAAGTTCACATTGAACTTGTGCAAGCAGAGAAACACTGTGACTTTTAAACTTGACTTTTTTGGTTACACTTAATCCGGTATTCTCTGAAGAAACATGAGTCCTGAGTCCTCAGGTTTTCTCAAATAAAGTCTATTGTTACAACCAGTAACAAGTGTCACCTGCAGAATGTTAGGTCTCCTGTTCTTTTGTATTTTTTAAAACTGCATCAGACTAGATGTCAAGGAAATCTGAAAATCTCACTAGTAGGAAGAAAGATGCAGATCAACAAAGCCAAGCAGAAAGCCAAGAATTTGGCTAATGAACAATCCTTGTCTCTTTCTGACAGACTGAGAAGATATTAATTGTAGATGAAAAGTTCATTATTTCACCAGAAACCATGGCAACATGTTAAATGTGAAATTAATTGCTCACTCTAAGCAGTCAACAGCAATTTATGTTTTAACTTTGCAGTCATATCACAGAGCCAACCTTTCAAAAAGCATAATGATGCCAAGATATTGTGAGTGCAGAACTAAGTCATCATTTCCTCACACCCATATGTCTGTCACATCAGTCTGCATGTTCCCCCTACAGCTCAGCCGCTGCACAGACAGCAGAAAACAATAAAAAAACAAACAACTGAACCTCAGCTGAATTCTCCATTAACCGGATTGCATTTTTTGGGTAGGATACATCATTTTCATACATCATATATGACAGTTTTTAAAGTGTCACATTTTATCTGACTTTTGCGTCAGCTACAATGTTATTATTCTGCACTAGAAGCCAGACACAGTAAAGCCAGACTGAAACAATGGATTAAAATCATGATGGAACTGATAGAAGTCAGTGAAGAGCATCACATCCCAGCCTCACCACTGCTGCTCCAACTCCACATCCAAACAGACAGACTTCTCTACAGAAGCTGCCTTCAAAGCTCCACTGATCCACTGAAGGCTGTTGCTGTGTTAGCTGGGCTTTCTTTTCATCAGCTTCTTTCATCTTGTTTTGATTTTGTGACGATGCTGTCGACTCGCCTTCCTGAATAAACTTTAAAGTTGATCTACCAACGTCTCCATCCATTATTACTTCCAAAAGTGAAGTCAACGATCTTCTTCTGCACATGTAGGTTGCTTAGGGGTCATAAACCATTCTAATGGAAAGAATGGTTCTGTGTGGTTGCAGTTGCATCATTCAGTAGTTATATCTGGAAAGACTCAGACAGAGAAAAAGGAACAATTAAAAGATTTAATGACAGGAATGAATAACAGTTCTGTGGCGTTCGGGCCCCCGCAGCTGATTTGAGCTGAAATTTGCTGTGAACTCGGGTGAACGTCCTGGTAACTGATTAGGGATGCTGTCCCCCCGGGGCCCAACACTGGTGGTGGAGGTTGGGAAAGGGTGCTATCCTGGAGAGCCGAAGGATGCGGGTGGAGAAGGGGAGGTGGTGGGTTGAACGCAGCTGGGAAGCGGCTGACAGCATGTAGATCCTTATATGCAGAGCTTGATTGATAATTGGATGTGCCGGGTGAGGTCCAGCGCTGAGGTTGGAGACAAGCAAAACGCAGTGATGGGCGAAACAGAGGGGGCGGAGTCTTCCAGCTTGAACTTCTGCTTTAGCTTCATTATGACTGACCAGGCAAAAAAAAAAAAATCTAAGAAAATCGGAATTGATTATCAAGACCTGCTGTGTGAACATAACTAATGAACAAATACTATGCATAAGCATAAAAGCCACATCCCTTGCCTACCTTGTGTGTGCAGACAAAAGAATAAGTGCCACTGAAAAAAGAGACCTCTGATTAGGCTAATGAACAGTATTATAAAGAATATTTGATTACAGTTTTCTTTTTGACCTAAATTATTAAGGAAAATTGACTGGTTGTTGTAAAGCATGGCATTATCACAAGAATGCTTTTGTGTAAAATTGGACACTGTTAAATTAATTATTTTACATATGCATTTGAATAACCAATTTCTGAAAAGTGTATGTAGCTGAAATACTAAATTTTGTTTAAATTTTTAATAATGTTTGAGAGTTTAATTTTTGAGAGGAGTTGATTCCACAATCGGTTAATTCTGAACATCTGATGGTGAATCATCTTAATGTATTTCTATTTTATCTTTTCTTTGGAGCTCAGGGACTGAGGCAGTGGACCTTATCTGAGTCGCTCCAGTGACCCTGAGCCTGGCTGAAACAACAAAAAAACAAAAAAAAGAGGCAACTCTTCATCTATATTACAAGCTGCAGAAAAGACATTTAATTTATAATTATGTGAGCAAAAGGTGGCATACACTTTTATTTTCTTAATTTATTTTGTGTTGTACTCTAGCAGTGCTGCTTCCTGTGGTCTGACGGGTTTTGTGGTTCCGGCTCCGTGCGAGGAGGTGAGGAGAAAGGCCTCTGGCTTCGCCATCAGGCCTCCGCTGTTCTTAGCCACGCTGACTTGGACATTTGCACTTTCTACACATATGAATTGTGCCATCTTCTGCTGGACTGCTATTTGAGGGCCAACACCTACTGGACAATTCTTACACCTTCTACAGAGGTCAGTGAGGTTGCATTGATTTTTCCTATTGTCACGTGAGGACTGAGTGCAGCTTACAGGATCTGATCTCTGAGGAAACACCTGGCTGAAGGACGAGACTCAGGGGTGATTTCTGAGGGTCTCCTATGGCAGGAAAGACCAACGGCTTCTGCCCGACGTGAAACGGAGGTTTGAAAGCAATGACTCACCTGCTGTATCTCTCCATTTCTCCCCCACGCTCTGTCGAGGGGGGCCACATACTTTGTCCAGATTTTTCTGCACAGCGAGAATGAATG